AGGGGCCTTCTCCTCTTTGCTAATCGTTGTAGAGAGACAATCATTGGAGCTCTCCAAGGATCTGATGTACAGGGGTCTGACTCGGATCCCATGAGTCTCAGCAAGCACTCCATTAACAGAAGTCTGAGCCTGTCCTACCTGAATTTCTTAGATTTGCTCTAAAATCCTGAGCAGATCTTACATTTGGAAGGGATGGGAGACTCCTTGAGAAGCGAAGGCAGCTTGAATGTACACCACTGCGGGGGAAAGACCTACGGGCAGGTCTGGTAGGATCACGGGCATAACCTGCACTTGAGGCAACGGTTCAAATTTCTGAATCAAAAAAAAAAAAAGAAAGGGGGAACCCTCCTTTTCAAAAGCACAAATTGTGCTAAACCAAAAGTAAAGGAAGAAAAAATTCTAAGAAAATACAGCAGGGGTAGGCAACCTATGGCACATGTGCCAAAGGCGGCACGTGAGCTGATTTTCAGTGGCACTCACACTGCCCGGGTCCTGGCCTCCGGTCCAGGGGGCTCTGCATTTTAATTTAATTTTAAATGAGGCTTCTTAAACATTTTTAAAACCTTATTTACTTTACATACAACAATAGTTTATTTATATATTATAGACTTATAGAAAGAGACCTTCTCAAAACATTAAAATGTATTACTGGCACGCGAAACCTTAAATCAGAGTGAATAAATGAAGACTCGGGCACACCACTTCTGAAAGGTTGCCGACCCCTGAAATACAGAAATTTTAGTGAGAGGTGTAGCAAGCCACGGGCTAGCTAGAGGACACCATAATGCTCTGTCTCAAGCTGCTGGCAGCTGAGACAGAACTGGAGTGGTGGCAGGTCATTCTCTCCCTATATGCCCTCATACCAGAGTATGAGGGCATCTACGGCACAGGCATAGACTCACAGACACTGCTGATGAAAAATCTCTGACCCTGAGTGCACAGTTGCGCACACATCTTGACCTCTTGATGTGGTACACCCATAGAGACAATACTCTAAGAACAAAGGATTTTCTACACAGCAGCACCATCCTGACAGATAGAACTGCTGCTTCTCAGCCTGGGCATATGGCAAAAGGAGAGAGACACTGTATTTCAGGGTACATCTACACCACATGTGGGAGCATGCTTCCCAGAACGAGCAGGCAAACACACATGCTAGCTCTGCTCAAGCTAACATAATAAAAATAGCAGCATGGCTCCAGCAGTACAGGTAGCAGCTCAGGTTAGCCAGCTGTAGTATAGACATAGTGTAAGACCATCGTCATATGTAAGCAAGACCAGCTAGAAAGAAAAACATCAGAAATGTGACATGGATAGTCTGAAATACTGAGAAACTTTGGACTCTCTCAGAAGTGGCGAGACCAGACTGCAGGAGTGGGGATGTTACAGAGGTTCTGTTATTTTGCAAAGAGCTGTAAGTCTCTGGTACATTTTCAGAGGAAAATGACTGTGATTAAGGAATTTCTTTGTTAACCCTGTGTTCCTTAGTTTGCTGTCAAGTTGTCCCTGAGTGATCACAGCCTAGGCGGGGCCATGAGGGAGAGTGTTTAAACAACTTTGGGGGTGGACCTTTGGAAGTCAGGGTCTGGGGTGGCTGAACTGTGAAGTCCCAGGTCCCCAGGTCAGGCTCAGAGAAGAGGTCTGCACCTGGGAGTGTGCCTTACAGACATAGAGCTCAAAATAGTGACTAGAAACTGCCCAGACTCAGTTGGCTTGGAAGCACCTGGGGCCCTGTAATTAGATCCACTTGCAACATACAGGTGACATTACAGTGGGATACTGGGCCAGGTTGTAACACAGATCACATTGTTCTGTTCTTGGTTCTGTTACATACTATGTATGAGACCCTATCTGTGTGTCTCCTATTTAAAATGGGTTTAACATTAGTTTCCCTACCTCAAAGTGTTGTTGTGAGGGTTGATGTTTACAAAGAATTTTGGAATGTGAGAGTGTAAGATGCTATACACAGTAAGTGCTAAGTATTATTAGGTTTCTCCAAATAACAAAATCTATTTTACAAAAATAAGAATTGCATATCCGTGAACCTTAGAGGGTCCAAAAAAATGGGGGGGGGGGGAAGAGACAGAAGGTGATTAAGTACCATCAATACTGTTGTCCAGCTTCATCAACACATGATGAATTTGCACCCTAGACCGTTTGATGCCTCGCTGCAATTTCTGAAGCACTGAACAGGTCCTAGAGAACAAGTTTATTTGTATATAAAAAAAGAAATAAGAGCTTGTTAAACGTACTTAATGGTGCAAAGCTATACACCGGAATGCATAAGTAGGTTTTATACTCTGAAACTGATAAAGAATATTAAACAGTATTACCTATTTTTAATGGGAAACCCTATGAACTTTTTCTGCTTTATGCCATAAACTGCATTAGCAGTCTCAGAGCTAGCTGACTTAATTATCTCAGAAACTTTACTTAATATTTTATCTCCTTGTCTGAATGTCTGGGAGCTCCTTAAACTCAATATATTATACTATAAACCTCGATTAAGAGAGTAATTTGGATTGTTTATCTGTAGCTGAAGGGGGAAAATGAGCTATTTCTTGAGGACCTGCTTTAAACTACCAAGAGATTAATTGTGAATATAAACTACTAGAAGAATTTTGATCTCCTGCAAAGGATCAAACCTCAGACTAAAAAATAATCCTGTTGAACAACAGTTAATGGCTGGAACTGATCAGTGGCAGATTAAGAGAATTCAGGTCCTAGAGGGAGAGATTTAAGAGCCCCTAAACATCACAATATAATTTCCAATGTATGATGGAACACTACTATATTTAATAATAATATGGAATGTCGGGTTCCTCTCTAATTTAGGTGCCCTGACCACAGCTCTATCAGCCCTACAGTTAAACTGTTCTCAAGACTGACTAGTAATTATGTGAGTAGGAAAATGTATAACCTTTTAAATGTATTAAAATAGCATGTGTCAAGGTGGATAATTTACTAAAAACTACCTGTGCACTGGAATCTACTGATGCTTCCTGTGATCTATGAGTTTCTTACTTCCTGGAAAGGAAGTCAACAATTTCTTTTTATGGAGGATTAATGGGTGCCTAGTCCATACACACACAAAAATTCTTGCCAAAAAACAAAAACCACTAGCAGTTTAAACCTGCTTCATTCAAAAGCGAAATTCCACTGTCAGGGAAATCCCTAATGCCCCCATAGTCAGGGAACTATGTCTGATTCCTACTGAAGGATCTGCCGGACTGCAACTGCTTCTTTAGTTGCTAGGTAACAACCAACTCATTATATGCCATTATCAGCACCCTGGAAAAGGAAACTGGCATCTGCTTCCCATTTGGAGATACCAGTGATTGAAATAATAGCAATGCTCTGACTGCCAAAAATCCTTGGTCTCCCAGGGACTGGTTTGTGAATCAAGCAGGTGCTGACTTGAGCATCATCTCTGAAGTTTGAGGTTATGTCGCTTTTGTGATCTTGACCAACACAACATGCCAGGGGGATGGAGTTGCCGGTCCCAGTCATTGACATATTATTAATGCAGAAAAATATCCTCCCCCTAAATTATGGCTTATCTGATTGGTGAGATGTTAACCACAAAGACCTATTGTGAAGCCTGTACTAGAAACAGAAGGGAAATCAACAGCACTAGGATGGGAACAGGCTGGGAATGAAATGATTTGGAGGAACTTGCTGAGGTCAAGCAGAACTCTTGCAGTCGCCTAGCTGTATTTTTTAAATCCCTGAAATAGATGTCAACAGTGAGCAATGTGGGCCACTATGCAAAAGTCTAAACATGTAGCCTTAATGCATTTCTTTTAGTTCATTAGTACATCACAGTTCCATTCATACTGAGAAGGGAAAATAGGTCTGTCAAGAAACAAAAAAGCCACCCAGCTTCTGAATGCCAAAACCAGAAAATGAATACATTAACTAATGATGTATTTGCATCACACAGAGACAAGAGCTAATGATTTTCATATAGTATACACATGAGCACCCTATCAAAACACTCTGGGTGGTAGGTAAATAAACCAATATGTAAAGAAAGTAGGTCCTAAAGACATGCATGGTTCCTTGTATTCATATTCAAAATATCTACATCTGATTTAGTCAAATCTGAAAACAACACAAAAAGAATAAGGAAAGATATAAACAGTGGAGATGAATACTTTAAGCATGCATGGCCCCTAGCACAGCCTTGTCTGAGGAGCATATTGAAATGCAGAAAGTTTTACTTTTCATCTTTCCTAATGCTTAGGTTCAATTCTCTAACCCTCGATGGGGTTGAAAGCCCACCATAGTTAAGTAGAAGATACCCATTTTTAAATTCTTCAATAAATAAACTCAATGTATAGGAACCAAAATGAAGGGAATACCCAGAGATTTTAATTCTTAACACAAATAAAGTCTCAGCTCCTAACATCCATTCAAGAAAATTATGAGCAGTGCCACTGACGACACTGATGTCATTAGGACTACTCACAAGCTTAAAGTTAGGCATATGTTTAAGTATCTGACTGAAGCAGCGTCATGCTGAACGCTGCTCCTACACTGGACTATTGTTCACAAGTGTCCATTTCCACATTAGTGATATGCTTATTTTATTTATGCACATTCCTTGTCATTGGTGTATTAATCCTGCAACTTTCAACTGGACATAAAGTAATAGATTTTCTAACAGTTAAGCACAACTCCCACCAAGTTTCAATGGGAGTTAAGTGCCATTTGAGTCTTTGAAATTTCCCCTGAAGTGACTGATATTAAGAGGAAAATAAATTACTATAAAGCATATTTTCCCTTTTGCTCAGACGCTTATGAATAACCGTACCTAAAAGGAAGTGCAAAACACTAAATCATGGAAAACACACATTTGACACATTGTTAATGTGCAAAACACATTCAAACATTGCACACTAAGGGCATTTCTTTCAATAATTGCTCAACTTAGAGTTCAGCCTTCAATAGGGGTGCTTTTTTCTATCAAGCAAACAACATTTTAGGTAATGCCTTACCTGCCTCAACAATTTCTCTATAGCTGACATTACCATGAGTCCTCTCCACACAACTGGTGCAGTCTCTTCTACCAAGAAACCCATTGACATACTGAAACAGTAAAGCAAAAATTTATCTTTCAAACATGATTCAAAACAAAATTATCTGAAATAAATCTATAAAGTAGCTTGATTTAAAATAAAACATATGCTCACCATGCAATGCCATAGTTCTTAAGGGGTCTCATTAAGTTTTCTAAAATAGAAACAAAATTATTTGATTTTTTTAAAAACTAAGCAATTACTTTATATTCATAAATACATACTTCCTCATCTATTCTTACTGAGGTAGTTTTTCACCCAAATCAGCAGTAGGAGTTACCTCAGTGCCTTCTGTATTTTATCCATCTAGTCACATTTTCAAAGTAGCATTCTGCATGATGGTGAGTTTTCAGGCCCATCCCTTTCTTAGGAACTTAGGCCAGGTCTACACTACAAACTTACATCAGTATAACAGCATCGCTCACAGGTGTGAAAAATCCACACTTCTGATCAACCTACCTAACTCCCGGCGTAGATAGCGCTATATTGACGGGGGAGCTTGTCCCATTGACATAGCTACCACCTCTTGCAGACGTGGATTAACTCTCCCGTCTGCTTGGTAGCATCTTCACTAAAGCACTACAGAAGCACAGCTTTTTAAGTGTAGATCTGCCCTCAATCTCTACTAGCTCAGGCTTCAACCTTCAGATATATCTCTATTAGAGGGCATCAATACAAACTCAACAATGCCTTCTTCGACATCCTATGCAAAAAGAGAAATCAAGCTCTCTCGAGTGGTTTGCCCAACATACCATGTGATCAATCATTTATACCTTATGTATTTCCTTTGTTAGCCTTCTACCAAAACCCGTAGGACTCATTTATCACAAGCTGTATATGGTGAGGACAGCAGGTCTATCTTATAATGAATAGTTAAGATGAATATAACCGATGAATGTAACACCCTGGTTTGACCCAGAGGCCCCTGGCCAATGGTTCCTCCCTGTTCTTTGCAAACAACTCTCATCTCAGATCTGACAACACCAAACATATCTTAGAGTATTTATTCACAGGGGTAACATGTAAGGTATCTACAGAAAGCTCATAACTTTTCAAGACTCAATCATTCTGATATGTGCATACAAGTAATATTTATGGAACAATTTAACTACATTGAAAGTATGTTTTCATGTATTATTCCACCATGGAATAATACGTGATGGCCAACTGGAGTAGGCGGGAGTTGTCACTCCTCCCTGCTTAGTTGGGTATGTAATGCAAGTCTCAAGTGTCTAGCCTTGCTCCATCCCAAGACTAGCAATGGTAAACCATCAGAGACAACTGCAAACAATCAAAACTTCTTGGAGGTAAAAAGGAACATTATTACACACAGGATCTCCCTGTCTATGAAGTCACGCAAAAGACTGTTTCAGTGTAATACAGAGTGAGGAGAGGAAACACCTGGTGGAAAGGGGGTGTTTTTCATGAAAGTTTGGATCCTGTTTTAAGTGAAGCCAGGCAGTTCTGCAACAGACTGAACTTTGGGAATGAAAACCTACTTTATTAGATGAGAAAGGTAACTTAATAAATGTAGGGCCTAGTTCCCATTTTATGATTTTGTTTTGTACTGTAACCATTTGTTTCTACCACTCTCTCTTGTTTTTTTGTTGAATCTCTATTCTTTCTTAAATAAACTCTCTCTTGTTTTATTACAAGTGCTGTGTGTTATACAGGAGTGGTGGTTTAAGGTAAAACTGAAGTACACTGCTCCTTTGTGGGCAGAGAATCTGGGATTTCTGTGAATATTAGCATCAGGGGCCGGACATCACAGGGTAATGCTTCAAAGGTGACTCAGGTAGGTACAAGGGTGCATCTCTTGTTAACCTGTAAGGCAAAGACAGGGCTGTCATTGCCCAGAGAAGAGTGCCTGAGTGGCTAACAGGCTGGTGGAGTTAGAAAGCTAAAACCCAACCAATATGTGCAAGGCTATCTCTCGCTAGAGGCAGTCATTCCCAGTCTCTATTTAAGCCTAAATTGATAGCATCTAGTTTGCATATTAATTCAAGTTCAGCAGTGTCTCGTTGGAGTCTGCTTTTGAAGCTTTTCTGTTGCAAAATTGCTACCTTTAAATCTGTTACTGAGTGGCCAGAGAGGTTGAAATGTTCTCCTACTGGTTTTTGAATGTTATGATTCCCAATGTCAGATTTTTGTCCATTTATTCTTTTGCGTAGAGACTGTCCGGTTTGGCCAATGTACATGGCAGAGGGACATTGCTGGCACCATGATTGCATATATCACATTGGTAGATGTGCAGGTGAACGAGCCGCTGATGTGATTAGATCCTATGATGGTGTCACTTGAATAGATATGTGGACAGAGTTGGCATCGGGCTTTGTTCCAAAGATATGTTCCTGGATTAGTGTTTTTGTTCTGTGCTGTGTGGTTGCTGGTGAGTATTTGCTGGTTGGGTGGCTGTCTGTAAGCAAGGAGACAGACTTCATAAAGGAATTATGAAATTTTAATTTTCTGAAATAATTAGGCTCATTTTGACATTTCATTTTATGATTTTTTTCCATTAGAAAATAGTAACAAATCATCAACTCAAATCACCAAAAACACAGAAAAGCTTAAAAAGAAGTTTACAATCCCTCCACTGCCCTTCCACTTTACAACACAGCTCTTTTCTTCATCAACTCCTATTACATTAATTTTCTGGGGGTAAAAAACAAATTAATTCAGAATGCATCAATTCAATTTTAAAGAGAGTTAAAAATAAAAGCAGAAAAACAGCTGCTTGCTGTAAGATTATGATACAAAAGTAGGTCTGGCATAAGTAGGAAAAATATGCTGAATTTGATCATGTATTAGTCAACTACATTTCAAAGTAGTGTTAATGTATGGTTTTGTACTAAAAGCACAAGATAAGTGAGTTGTCTGAAGCCACTACCTTCCATCAAGGATGCCTTCCCTCCAATCATCAAATTGATTCACCAAATAGCCTTGAGGTCTTTGTGGATCCAAAGCCTTTTTCTACCTGTAGCTGGCCAGAAGAGAGTGTTATTCCATTAAACTGATTTGGCTACAGTGAACCACAAATTAGGGACCACTATGATTTGTTATTTAATTCACTGTATCTAAGAGGAATGAAGCTGACAACTCTGAAAAACTTCCACTTGATTCAAGATGCAGCATCCTACCTACTCAGCAGCAGATCACTCCTACATTCGGCTCTCTGCATAGCTCTATGTGCAGCACAGAATCAAATTCAAGGTTTTTGTCCAAATATTCAAAAGCCATTTACTGGATTAGTCCATGTTACCTGAAGAACTGACTACCTCCCTCTATACAATTATAGCTGCCCCAGTCAGCTAGTGCACTAGAAAGGTCAACAACAACAGTGAGAATTGTGAGGATAGTGGATAGAGCTTACCTACAACTGGACTGCAATTCTGAAACTAACTTCTATAACACATCAGACATCCCCACCTTCAGAACAAAATGCAAAGCTCACTTATTTAACTTAGCTCTCTCAGAGCAAATAAATTCATTAATACAGAAAGATAAAACTGATCGAAGAAAAGGAAACTGGAGATAAAGGTCCTGTTAAAAATATATTTTAACAGCTGTAATGCCCTGAAATACCTTGGTGATAAGCATGGTATGAAAATGAAGGTAGGTAACCTGAGTTTTATTTCCAACTCTACCAAAAATTATTTTTTTAGATTTATTGAATGTGTTAGTTCTTTTTGTGCCACTTTAAGCAAGTCAGTCTTTATAGCCCAGATTCTCCAATTGTAAAGTGGCTATATTACATGCTTCACAGGAATGCTGTGAGGTTTAGAGAAACACTATGAACCTAAAAAAAAATTTAGGCAGGTGTCATTTTTACTTCTTTATTGTTAATTTTAAACCCTATAATCATTAAAGAAAACCCATATTTTCTCTATTTTCCTATTTGTTTATGTACTCAATAACACTTCAGATCTATTAAACTTCACCGTTTCTCCTGGACTCAGTAGATTTTACTGTATGTGGGACGGTTTCATAAAAGAACCAGGCAAGAAAATCATGTTAAAAATAGGAAAGTGTGACTGTAAGATGACAAAAATTAGCAGAAAGAGTCAGGAATACATGTAGTATTTAAAACTATTTTTAAAATTAATTTTTAAATTGGCTAGATTTTAAGTTGTCTATGATGTTTTAATATCTCTATTCTACTGAGAAAAGTGACTCTAAAAATGGCATTCTGGATTTTCATATTTATTGCCTATCAATTTATTCAAATATGTTCAGCTTACAAACAGAAACACAAGTACACATGCAAACATATTTATGACTGCCATTGTTAAAAACTCTACCTGGAAACTCAGAGTTAATCTGGTTTCTTCCTTTATTACGGTGGATGATGCATAAATTATGCAGACTAAATTATTCTCCAATTTGCACTTGTGCAACCTAATTGTTTTCAGTGAGGTTGTACAGATGTAACTTATTGGTCCTTGTGATAAATGAGAGGTGGGATAGCTCCCTTTTGTGGACACCCAGCCAGCTAGCTAGCTAGCTAGCTATAGAATCCCTCTTGGTAGTTGTTCTCTATTTGCTTTACCTGTAAAAGGTTAACAAGCCCACAGGTAAAAGGAAAGGAGTGGGCACCTGACCAAAAGAGCCAATGGGAGGCCTAGAACATTTTAAAATTGGGGAAAATCTTCCATTTGTCTGTGTGTTGTGGTTCTCTGGGGAAGAGGGGAACAGGGCAGCAATTATGCTGTGAGAAGCTTTAAGCCAGGTATGAAAAACCATCAGATCATACCTAGAGATTACTTATCTGAAACCCCAGATATGTAAGTAAATTAGGGAATGTCTAGGAAGACACGATTAGGTTTATTTCTGTTTACTTCTTATTGGCTTGTGGACTCCTCTGTGCTAACCCCAAATATTTGTGTCTTGCTTGTAACCTGTAAGCTGGACCACAAGAAGGTTATTCTTGATGTTTAATTCGTGCAAGTGGTTATTTTAAATCTAGCAAAAGCCTAAGTTCTAGATGTATTTTCTTTTTGTTTTTAATAAAATTTACCTTTTTTAAGAACAGGATTGGATTTTTGGTGTCCTAAGAGGTGTGTGCATATGTTGTTTAATTAGCTGGGGGCAACAGCTAATTTCCTTTGTTTTCCTTCTCAATTCTTCCCCGGAGGAGGGGTGAAAGGGCTTGAGGCT